ACAAACATACTGCTGTTCGTGCAAGGGGTCCATATCGAATGCTGGTGTTAGACGGGCACGAGAGTCATGACGAGTTCCAAGAGTACTGCAAGGCACACAACATTATAACTCTTGGACTACCTCCCCACTCGTCTCATTTAACTCAGCCACTTGATGTCGGGTGCTTTAGTGTGTTGAAGCGGGCATATGGTCAGCAGATTGAGACCTTCATGGGCTCATATCAACCACATTACCAAGGTCGAGTTCTTTCTCGCCTTTAGAGCAGCATATCTGGAATCCATGACAGCCCAAAACGCCCAGTCCAGGTTCCGCGGAGCTGGCTTAGTGCCTTTCGACCCGCAAGCAGTGCTTTCAAAGCTTGACGTGAGGTTACGGACTCCAACTCCCTCTAGACCCTCTACTGCCAACACCAACCCTTGGGTCTCCCAGACCCCTTCCAACCCAACTGAAGCTCTTTCACAAACAACCCTCGTTCGAAATCGAATTGCCCGTCACCAAGGAAGCTCGCCAACTCCACTCTTCGGGACAGTTATTGCATTGGCAAAGGGTACGGAGCGACTAGCACATGAGAACACCCTTCTGTCTGTTGAGGTACGTACCCTTCGAGCAGCCAACGAAGCCCTTAGCAAACGCCGCAGGGCTAAAAAGGCTCGTGTCCGTGAAGGAGGTGCACTTATAGTAGAGGATGCACAGGCTATTATCGCACAGAAGGATGTGGATGAGCAGGTACGACGCGACGTACGTGCGGTTGGGGGTAGTCGCAAGGAGGGGCAACCGTCTAGGCGATGCTGTGGGATCTGTGGAAAAGCTGGTCATAATGCGCGAACTTGTCAAGAAGCTATAGATATGTCTAGTTCATCTGATTCCGCTTAGTTATAGTTAATTTAATATGTTATGGTTGATTTATTGATATTCAAAGTAGAATGCCAATGAAAAGTGTCTGAGGTACTGATATGTCCGACATACTGATAAACCACGTTAACCAAATATATATTAATCTATCTAAATACTACTTAAAGTATTAATTTAGCTATAAATTCCTCTTCTAGATCCTCTTCTTGTTCCTTTATAAAATCCCAACTCTTTAAACAAGCTATTACTCTAAAAACGTCTTTAGAAATGTAATGGTAGGTGCACTAGATGTGAGAATCTAGCCACCTAAGGGAAGGGATGGTTTTACTAAGACAACACACTGTCTTAGGAAATAGAGCCAAAGGGTTGTAGCTTAGACTATTCTACAATGCAGCAATCAGGTGTATGATGTAGTGAAGTGGTTTAGACAAGTTGTAACAAATGTTAAGTCTAAGAACTTAGGGGTAAGTTAGAGGTTAGCACCTTACTGACTTTTCAGAAACAAGGAATAACAAGATCAACGCTTGGAAGCTTGGAAAAGATGTAGAAGTATGTGATAGTCAATTTACTGTATTGCCTGCTTGCCCTTCTTAAGGAAAGGGCAATCCTCTTTATGCTAAAGGAAAGAAGTGTAGTTCTCTCATTTTCCATGACTTTCCATGACTAACTAGGCTTGGTAACTTGTAATGGTGGGTGCACCAGATGTGAGAATCTAGCCACCCAAGGAAGGGATGATTTTACTAAGACAACACACTGTCTTAGGAAAAAGAGCCAAAGGGTCATAGCTTAGACTATTCCACAATGCAGCAATCAGGTGTGTGATGTAGTGGAGTGGTTTAGACAAGTTGTAACAAATGTTGAGTCTGAGAACTCAGGGATACGTCAGAGGTTAGCACCTCACCGACTTTTCAGAAACAAGGAGTAACAAGATCAATGCTTGGAAGCTTGGAAAAGACGTGGAAGTATGTGATAGTCGATTTACTGTATTGCCTGCTTGCCCTTTCTTAAGGAAAGGGCAATCCTATTTATGCTAAAGGAGTGTAGTTCTCTCATTTTCCAAGACTTTCCATGACTTACCAGGCTTGGTAACTGTAGTCGACGTAAGAGAATCCCATAGAACCATCTCTTAGGTTCGTAGCCTATAGGAAGTAAAAGGAGGTCCAAGGTCAGAGTACCCCTATAGACAAATTATGTCATAGACAAATTATGTCATAGACAAATTATGTCATAGACAAATTATGTCATAGACAAATTATGTCATAACTTAACCAATCTTGTGGGTAGCTAAAGAGTGATGACATGTAATAAATCATAGAGGTTCGTAGGAGCTTTTAGAGCTATCGTTCATGCTCCTAGGCCTCTAGTTGGTAGAGATATGTCATGTGGTAGTATGAGTGATGTCATGTAATGAATCATAGAGGGTTGTAGAGATATGCTATGTGGTAATATCAGCCCAGTAACTAAGGAGCGATGATGTGTAATGAATCATAGATGGTTGTAGCAATCGTTGAGTAGTATTGCTCTTGTTGTTGGTGTGATAAGCCAAAATATGTATAGTGACTTGTAGGTTTGAGGAGGAGATTTCCAAGTTTGCTCTTGAGTTTGATAGCAAACTGAGTGCAACGAATGTCAGTATGACAAGAAGGTGGAATAGAAGACTCTATTAAGTTCAATAGATTTTGATGTGAGAACTAGGTAGTTTAAGCAGTTCGCCATGTAATAGATGCTTTGGTTTCTACTTTCTTCATCCCTTTTACTATGACTTGAATTGATTCCTTATTAGCCTGTATATTAACAATATTAATCCACTAGTCAACTGCATCATTATATGAAGAAGGAGGATCTTCTTCACTACTTTGTCCTTCTAGCAATAATGAGACTTCGCTCTAGCGATCTTGAATAAGACTGGTAATAACTCTTCTAAGAGAGTTATAGGTTAAACCTAGCAAGTGTTCTGCCTCCTTAGTTATAAGCTGCTAAAATGATCTATCTGTAATAACGCTATATATATCACTTTTTTAGACATAAAGCCAGAGAATCATTGTCTTTTAGTCTATTGTAATCCCCTTCCCCCCCCCCTTTTCAGATGTTATAACGCCATTAGCCTAGCTACTCTAAGCTAAAGCACTTTGAGCTGTAGCTGCTAGAGAGTCTTTGAGGATAGTAGAATCACTAGTTTCATCACTAGTTTTGGGCAATTCAAGCTAACGTTTGCTAGTAGTATCAGTAGAGAGTTTGTGAGGCAGCGGTTAGGTAGGCTAGGGCTGTGCTACAGGCACTTGATATTGCAATAGGGTTTGGTAAAAGCGTTTTTCATTATTATATATAACTATACAGTTGATAATGTATCTATAGCTTCATTTTCTGATGTTAGGTTTTACTTATTAATGACCTAAGCTGTTATAGTGTAGCAGCAAGATAATTAGCTTTAGACTACATTAGGAAATAGTAGCAACAGGGGGGGCACAAGGATTACAGTTACATCATTTCCTATCTAGGCTAAAGCTGCTACGCTGCTACACTCAAATTACGATACTGAAGTGCCTATTGATCTCGCTCCAGCAGCATGTCATACTGACATTTGTTGCACTCAGTTTGCTATCAAACTCAAGAGCAAACTTTTAAACCTACAAGTCACCATACATATCTTGGCCAACAATAAGAGCAATACTACATCATACACCTGATTGCTGCGTTGTGGAATAGTCTAAGCTACTGTTGTCTTCGTAAAATCCCTTCCTTGGGTGGCTAGATTCAGCAGAGTGCAGTGACAGCATCCACCCCTGTAAGCACTCACGTGCACACATCCCATCCGTCGTCATGCTCGTAGCATGCGTGCCTTCTTCCCACGCGCGCAAATCCTGCTCACCAACGCCAAGCCGGCGATAAGACTAACCCCCTCTTGGGGCGCCATCTCGTTTTAGCACCCCCAACTATACTTGATTGGGGATAGGGGATCAGGGGCGGCGTGGTTTCTTATCTGTGATGACAGCATTGAGTTACGGAGGCGACAGGGGGGGAGATAGAGGTTCGGGAGGGGTCGGGTGTGTTGGTGGCGAGGGGGGACGGGGAGGATCGGGAAGGGGGGGGCGCCTTGTCCACTGTGGTTGTGGGAAGAGAGAGTGCCGGATAGAGTACAGTGTACCTCCCTTCTGTGAGGGCGATGCGTATGATGCGAGAGTATCCAGTACAGTTCTCGACACAGTCATATTTCGGTTCAATCTTCAATGGGGTAATTTGCGGGTGGAAAGGGAAAAAGGAAAAAAGTACACTGTACCCCTGGTGTACCCCTCCCACCCACACAAAAACAGCCTCATCACAGCCACATCACACCCACACCCCAAGTACACACGACATCCCATTCTAGAAGCGACGCGGGCATCGATGGCGCCGGGTGGTCGAAATGCTTATTTGTGTGTGGGTGGAGAGAGATAAGCTTCCCTGTCCTCGCCCCCCAGCCGCATCGTCTTTTTTTTCCTTTCTCTACGTACTCCGTACAGCGAAAGTAGTACGGGGCTAACGAGAAGATACTTTGTTGGATGGTATATTTTGTAGGAGGAAGTAATGTACTGTTTGCCTACGACTACTACTAGACGACTACTACTAGACGACTACTACGACTACTACTAGACGACTACTACTAGACGACTACTACTAGACGACTACTACGACTACTACTAGACGACTACTACTCTACTTTTACCCTCAGCTTACACTAATGCTAATCTCTCGACAGGACGAGTGTCGTAGCCTTATCCACGTCTCTAATCAGCCGCTACACGCCCGCCCATTGGCTGCGACCGACCCCTCCACTCTCCAACTCTCCACTCTCCAACTCTCCAACTCTCCACACCCAACGACGACTAACCGCCCCCTACTAACCGCCTCCCTCCCCTCCTCCCTCCTCCCTCCTCCCTCCTCCCTCCTCCCTCCTCCCTCCTCCCTCCTCCCTCCTCCCTCCTCCCTCCTCCCTCCTCCCTCTAGCTCCTTCCATCTCTATCTCTGTCCTCTGCCATCCCTCCCTGCCCTTTCTACCTCTCTACTCTTCCCTCTTCCCTCCCCATCCCCATCCCCATCCCCTCCCAATCCCCATCCCCCATCCCTACCCACAAAAAACCCCCATCCGTCCCCCCCCCTCCCCCCACCCCATCCCGTCGACTACCGATTCCGGGCACACCGGGACATGGAACGAAAGGAAGGAAAGGAAAAAGAAAAGGAAACCCACTGCATCATATGCGGTCCGGAAAACCCCACAGATGCCACGGCGAGGGTGAGGAACCTAGACCCAGCCAGCCCCCAATGTTCTATTCGTGGCTGGGTTGGGTATCGGGGTCTGGGCTAAATACCTTCCTCCTCCCTCCTCCTCCCGCCTCCCTCCTCCCACACTGCTGCATTTCCAATCCTCGCGTGCCATATTGAAACTTGCCTTTGCTGCTTGAAACTACCCTGAGAAGAAGAAGAAAAATATCCCCACGACTGCAACTTCTTCCGTACGAGGACGACAACGCACACGATATACATATATCCCCCCAATTCTCCACCCGACACACATCCCGCCACTTGATCCTCCTCTCACCTCACGAATCCTCTCTTCAATCTCCAACGCAAAAGCCTGCCAGCGCCACCTCGAACACTTCACACCCCACGCGTCCTCTCTGAGGGCATCCGCCTGCAGACATGTCGTACACCGGCATTGGACCCCCCGTGCCCTTCAACGGCACCGAAGGCGATGGAGGAGATAGCAGTACGCCCTCCCCCAAAGTACCCCTCAAAACACGAGCAAAAACTCACACCCCCGCAGCAACAACCAACCTAAACCAATGGTACCAATCCGGCGACCAAGCCTTCATTCTCGTCGCCTGCTGCATGGTCCTTCTCATGATCCCGGGGCTGGGGTTCCTCTACTCCGGGCTCGCGCGTCGAAAGTCCGCGCTTTCCATGATCTGGGCCTGTATGGGCAGTTTCTCGGTGATTGTGTTTCAGTGGTATTTCTGGGGATACTCGTTAGCGTTCAGCCAGAGTGCGACGAATGGGTTTATTGGTGATCTGAAGCACTTCGGGTTGATGAAGACCCTCGGGGCGCCGTCGCCGGGGAGTCCGTTGATTCCGGAGTTGTTGTTCTCGTTTTACCAGGTATACTCCCCTCCCCCATTCTTCCCTTTCCACTATTCACAGTGAGAGAGAACATGGGAACACCGCACTAACAACCCCCAGATGATGTTCTGCGCCGTAACCGCCGCAATCGTCATGGGCGCCGTCGCCGAACGCGGCCGCCTCATCCCCGCCATGGTCTTCACCTTCTGCTGGGCCACCCTCGTCTACTGCCCCATCACCTGCTGGATCTGGAACTCCAACGGCTGGGCCTTCAAATACGGCGTCCTCGACTACGCCGGCGGCGGCCCCGTCGAGATCGCCTCCGGCTGCTCCGCGTTGGCTTACAGTATGGTCCTCGGAAAGCGTCAGGAGAAAATGATGCTTAACTTTCGCCCGCATAACGTGTCGCTCATTACGTTGGGCACGGTGTTGCTGTGGTTTGGATGGCTGGGGTTTAATGGCGGGAGTGCGTTTGGTGCGAATCTGAGAGCGGTTATGGCATGTTGGAACTCGTGCTTGACTGCTATGGTGGCGGCTGCCACATGGTGTCTTCTCGATTTCCGCTTGGCAAGGAAGTGGTCTATGGTCGGGTGGTGTTCCGGCTGCATCTCTGGCCTCGTCGCCGCCACGCCTGCTTCGGGTTTCATCCCACTCTGGGCCTCCGTCCTCCTCGGCGTCGTCACGGGCGTCGTTGCTAACTTCGCCACGAAGAGTATGTAGTTCCCCCCCTTCAATCCTCCCATTCAAAACAACACAAGCTAACGGATCGCCCTTTCAGTCAAATTCTGGATCCAAATCGACGACTCCATGGACGTCTTCGCCGAGCACGGCATCGCCGGCGTCGTGGGCCTCCTCTTCAACGCCCTTTTCGCAACCCCCACCATCATCGGCCTCGACGGCGTCAACACCGGCGTCCTCACCGGCGGCTGGCTCGTGCATAACTACCGCCAGCTCTATATCCAGGTCGCGTACATCCTCGCCTGCGGAACTTACGCCTTCCTCATGTCTGCTATACTCGCCTACACCATTAATTTCGTGCCGGGCTTGAAACTCAGGGCCGATGAGGCGGCGGAGTTGTTGGGCATGGACGACGATCAACTCGGTGAATTCGCATACGACTACGTTGAAGTCCGCCGTGATTACCTCGCCTGGACCCCTGCAAAAGAGGGGATGAGCCAGGTCGAGGAACGCATCGAACCCTCCGACCGCCACGGTATCCCCGAACACGGCGAGATGGCGTCACTGTCGGGCGCGTCGGGGATGGGTATGGATGCGAGTAGTAGGAGGGGGAGTGAGGGAGGGGGGGTGGCGAAGGGGAGCGCGAGCTCGGCGGTTGGGACGCAGGGGACGCTTGTTGGGGGAAGGCTGGGGGGGTTGGAGGAGGGTGTTGCGGTGGGGAGTGGGGAGATGAATGAGAAGGTTGAGATGGGGAGTGAGAGTGACCGCAGTGGGAGCAGAGGGGGGGTGGAGGGGAGGAGGAGTGGGTAGATGGTGATACCACTATCTGACCTTGAGGGAGTTGTACATTTTCTGTGCGAGTACGGACGGGCGTCTTCGATCTTTTTCAGCGGGTGTTCTTTCTTATCATCATCATCATACGCCATCTTTTCTCCATCATCATCGCCATCTACGCAAAGTTTCCTGGCATTTTTTTATCATTTTCATTATCGGATCGGTTGGGGAGCATGTTTGGGGAACCGGTTGCAAATATATATCCTGGGAAGGGGAAAGGAAAGGAGAAGAAGGGAGTTTCGTTTTGTTCAAGATACCAAAAGCACAGTCAGTCGCTCTCGTGCATACGAGCGAGGTGAAGTGGAAGTTGAAATTGGACGTGGAGAGGAAGGGAACAGGAGGGGAGAAGTTAGAAATATAAACACAAATCAAATTAATATCAAAAATCCAATCATCCCCCGCAGTGCCGTGACACATCTATCCCCCACACCCACTTCACGCGCCACAGCAGGGCGGGCCCGCCTCCCTTCTTGGTATCACTCGAAACAGACAGGTCGAACAGGGGTATGGCTGGTGAATACAGGGTTGACCGTGTGAGGGCGGGGTTGGTTGTGCTAAGCTGGGCTGCGCGGGGTTGTGGGGTGTGGAGTGTGAGATGGAGGCGGGGCTGTGGATGGATGGTTCGGTGGTGGGGTGTTGCTGTCGTTTCTGAGTCTGCTGTCACGGCCTCCCGGAGGGAGGGGACACAGCAGCATACCCATTCCGAAACCGCTTTCCCTATCCCAGCCACGTTTTCTTAATTGCGCATTCTTAACTGCGCTTTTGTTCTGTGGTGAAGGTTTGAGTTGGGGGGGGGGGTTGTTTTTATACTTGGGGTTTTGGGGAAAGGGGGGAGAAGAGGGGGGAGAAGAGGGGGGAGAAGAGGGGGGAGAAGAGGGGGGAGAAGAGGGGGGGAGGGTATTTGAATTTTATATCGAGGCATCACTCACACTCCATGTAGGAATCATGCGAACAACCTATCCATCCCCTCTCACCCCATCCTACGCGTCTCACCCACAAACAGCCGGTTTGGTTCGGGTTGTATAAATACCCCCTCCCCCGGCCCCACGTACAACAGACAAGTCAAACATCAACGCGATAGAAGACCCAGGTGGGGGTGGATGTGGGGCAGTTGGGGTGGCGGGGTCGTGAGTTGTGAGTGAGGAGGAGGTAGTGGAGAGAGTGTGAAGGGGGTGCTTTCGACAGGGTACTGTCGTTATATATGCTGTCGTCGTTAGTACCCTGCTGTCACTGCCTCCCTACTGTCACCCCCTTTTCCCATCACCGCCACACCATCACCACCCACGCCCCGCTTTTAGGGACAGGACAGCCATACATATACACCCATTCCGACACCCCTTTTCCGTACTTCTGCCCAGTTTCTGTTCAACTTTGTCGTAGTAGTTTGGCGAAATAAAATTGGGAAGGAGGAGAAGTTGGGGGGGGGGGGGGGTGCTTTTATACTCGAGGTTTTGGTTTAAGCGTGGAGGGGGTGGTGGATGGTTTTGTAGGAGGGAAGAGGGAGAAAGAAGGGAAAGGGGGCGGAAGATGGGGGTGGTTATTCGTGTTATAATATGAGAACGCAGGAATTGTATGAACCATCCCACATCCACATCCCCCATTCCCCTCCTCCGGCCCTCCCCCACCACCAACAACCGATCTGCTTTGGGTTGTATAAATACCACCCCCCCCCCCCCCGGGCCTCACGTAAACAGACAAGGCACACATCAACCTGGCAGAAGACCCTAGGTGGGGTCTCTGGGACAGTTGGAGTATTCGTGAGTTGTTAAGCGTAGGATTGCGGATGGATGGGTGGTGGATGGAGGGTGGTGAGGGGGTGTTGCTATCACTGGGTTATTGTTGTCGTTTCTGGTTCTGCTGTCGTTGATACCCTCCTGTCACCCCCTTCTCACCGACACGGCCGCAAACACAACTCCATCCTCACCTCACCCCATCCCGCCCTCTCGCACAACCCCTCTCTCGCGGAGGAGCAGGACGCAGCCGTTAACGTTTTGTAGTCGTGGCTATCATGCCGTCCACAGATACGCCGTCTATGAATTATTCCTCTTGTTAGATGGTGGAAAGAGAGGAGTGGGAGAGAGGGAGGGGGTTCTTTTCATGCTTGGGGATTTACGGGGGTTTGCGGTGGGAACGGTGTAAGAGGGGAGGGAGAGAAGAAGAGGGGGGGTTCGGATTTAATATCTATATAGGTAACCCCCCGGCAGCAATCGTGGGAATCACGTATTAAACCGAGCTATCCATCCCCTCTTCAACCCCTTCTACCCCTCCCCCCTTCTCCATCATCCGCCGATCCGATCCAGGTTTGTATAACCCCCCCCTCACCCCCCCCCAGCATCACTCGCAACAGGCAGGTCAACCACAGTGACCCCTAGGACCCAGTTGGTGTCTGTGGGGTGGCTGACGACACTGAGTCGTGGGTTGGGACGGTGAGTTGGGGTTTTGAGTGAGGGCGGGCTGTGGATGGGGGATGACGGGTTGTTGTTGCTGGTTCTACTGTCATTAATACCTCACTGTCGATACGGGTCTTACTGTCGTTGATAGTCTGCTGTCACCCCCTCCCCTCTCACACTACCTCTCACTCGCTAGCAGGGACCGCATGACACAGCTGTACGAGCACATTTGCACCGTTTGGTACCTTACTGTCTATAAGATGTGATCTTTGTGATCTTTGTGATCTTTGTGATCTTTGGGGTCTTTGATGTCTTGTCTTGTGGTGGGATCAGGGGCATAGGTTATAGTGCATCACTTATTGCTATCACCTGTTATCCACGTCCTCCCCATACCCCTATCCCTTTCGCAAACATCACCCGGACGACGAACTTCGGGGCCATAGCACCTATCCATTCCCCTCTACATAATATCTCGTGGTAACAAAAGCCATAGGCGCTCTATACCCCGTCTCCCCAGACCTCATCACCCTCTCAACCTGACATCTCCTCCACCCCCTTCATACGGCGCTTCAAGGCACCATGCATTATAGTCCCATCCATCCCCTCTCCCAGTATCCCCGCGGTTCTAGCGTCCGAGAAGGATAAATGGAAATCCAGATGCCGCAAACCGAGGATAACAACGTGACAGCAGAATCACATCGATACATGCTTGGCTGAGCAGAACGCCTACATTTCCATCTGGAGAATACTTGGGTAGCGGGTTGAGGGCGTTCTTCTTGTTTCTATCATTTTTGTTGGCTGCTGCCGTCGTTATCACTTTGCTGTCATTACACTTTTCTTGTCAATACCCCTATCCACACCGTTACTCCTTCATCACTGCCGTCGGCGCCATACACAACGCATTCGCAGAGCCATTCTTCCGCCTCTCGATCTCATCAAAGACGCATCGCCTCGCTACCTCTATGGATTGAGACGATGGTATCTTTCATCTCTTTTTTGTGATTCTACAACTGCGGTGGCTACAAATTTATAGGCTGCTCGGCCCTTGTTTGGTGATGGTGCTTGGAGTTTGGTTCAATGGGATGGGGGTTGACTTTGAGGAATCTATGGCGATATGAAACTATCTATACCAACACATGCAGCTACCACGGCGGCATCTATGGGGAATCGGCGTGCGCAGGTTGTACATAAACCCTTCCCACTCCACGATGCAGAGACTAAGGATCTACCTCCTCTGGTGACCCCTGGCCCATGGTTGTTCTGTGCGGGCGCGGGGTTTGGCATCGTGGTGGTGATGGCACGTTGGTATGCCGGTTTGGAGACGGGGGGGCGGGCTGCCGACTTTGCTGTTGCCGTCGGTTCTACTGTCGTTGCGCCTTTGCTGTTGCTGTCGTCTCTATCTCACCATCGACCCCCTCTTTCCCCTTTCTTGACGCGCACGCATAGCTCACCCCCCACAGCAGTTCATTGCCCTGACACAATTGTAACTCCTCCTTCATCAACCCATGCAGTTGTTTTGGTGACATATATGGGAGGCTTTGACGCTCATCAGATGTATCCAATTCCGACGCGAATTTATAAGATTTTCAACGTGAGTTGAATCGTGTTTAGGTTTGATAGGATCGGGGAGTCTACTAGGGAGCAGAGGATAATCTGAAGCATATGAAACTATCCAGGCTAAGTCCGACATTGCAGCGGCATCCATCGGCACAGGTGCAATCAGGTTAGATATAAACCCCTCCCACTCTACGATGACAAGATCCTTTATGAAGTATCTCGCAGAGGTAAATTGCCGTTTATTCAATTTTCTACCTATTGCCGCTAATTTGCAATGCCTTGTAGCCATCTGGTTCCATAGGCTCCATTCTTACCTTAACATATTACATCGCGGCAGATATATACCGAGCTTCCCTTCTTGATAATCTTTTGGCCAAGGCAGGAGAACAGGCAATAATCAACCCCTGACGTTTAGTTAAACTTTCTAAAGTGGGCATCTGAAACAAATAACTTGCTCCACTAATCAGACAGACTCTCCATCTCTTTTCCCCGCAATTTGAATCCATCTTCACCTCATGGCAACAGTTCCATCTTAATGAGGGTTTATCTACGGTGGAACTTAAATCAAAATTATAGATTATGTCCCACGACTGAAGCAAGAAAACTTGAGGAATTCTTCCGTTTCGCGATTCCCCTTCCCTAATTGAAATTAATGCGACGAGGGGATTTATTAAAAGGCATTACATTCCTCTGTCCCATTTTTCAACTACTCCTACTAGGTGTGCTATTCCTACCAAGTAAATCTATTATGAAATTGTCAACTTCCATGTCCGTTGGGACTCTAGTGCCACTGTGACCGAGGCTCAACGCACAGCCATTGCGAGCTCTCTCCAGACAAACGTCAAGAAATGGACCGACAATCTCACTGGGTTCATGGGCTGGCCTTACGACAACATTCCTGTCGGTGTAGTTGGGTGGGCGGCTAGAAACACGAACCTCCTCCAAGGTTCTACCTCTGGCATCGACGTCTATACCATGACAGATCAAGACGGTGTACCGGAGTGTGACCCCCGCTGTGGTCGCTTTTTCCACCAAGATAACAACTATGTCTCCTATCCAGGAGGAGCTGACCACCACTATGACGTGTCTCTTTGGCTCACAGCAGGAATGGATGGCGGTGCTGGTGGTGACTGGGGCCAACGTGTTGGGCGCGAGTATTTCTTGCCTGCTCTCGACAATCCGCACATTTGGCTACATGAGTTTGTAAGTTTTTGCTATCTAATTGGAGTGCTTACCATTCAGGGTCACACAATGGGGTTCGATGACTTCTATGACTGGACACCTACTGGTCAAACAAACTTCATCATGCTCGCGGGCAGCTCTCATATTACAGAGTTCGATACCTGGATGATGAGGGGTTTCTGGCGTCACGTCGCAAATCGATAGAGGGCTTTATCAATAACAGCTATGACTTCTGTAAATATAAGACGTTTGATAACACTTGACACGGCTACAGCCTTATACCTATGAGAGCAAGGCTCCTCTACTGCAAAGAGCCGCTTATTATTAGTAGAGAAAACCATTATAAGGCTGATTATTTTTAGCTGAAGGAGCTGATTTGATCCTTAATTAGCCTAATTGGTATTAGTTCTTACATGATATATGCTGTACGATGTGAATATAGCTCAGCTGAAGCGACTTCCCCAGCCATTTATAATAAAAGCCTAGAGTATATGCGTCTTAAATTCAACAACATCATCTTCAAGCCCATTCTTATTTTTCAAAGCTTGTGCATACGTTCTTACGAAGTATTTTGTCTCAAAATGCATCTCTCTAATTTCCAAGTCGCGTGTCTGCTATGTGCGACTGCCCTCGCGGCTCCCACGACTTCACCATCATCCCAAAACCTTGTTGATTCTGCGCCCAATCCAATCGGCACTCTTTATCCAACTTCTGTCCGGAACTATAAACGGCACGATCGCTGTGGTTCCAATTCCGTATTCGCTCGCACAGGAAATCATCCCATCCCAATATGGCATTCCGAAGAAGGCTATTAAATCCGCGTTGCCGGGATTCCCTATGTATCCTGTAAACAAGAGTGCCACAATGCGCATTGAAAATAGAGTAACTGACAACCCTCGTATCAGCTAATCATCCGGTCAATCCTCGATCACGACGTTGGTTTGAACGGGACTCAGCTTATACCAGATTTCCAAGCGAGTTTACCTCTTCTCCATACTCTTGCCAAACCTGCCCCTAACTCACAGACTGAAGTCCGTTCACATATTCTACCCATTTGTAGACCTGCTCGAGATGGTTGCTCAAGCTTCGTCTATGGAAATATCTCATCCTCACAGGGACGAATACGGCTGCAATCGAAGGATCCGAGGCATATGGCAACGTTTAAACGAGAAAATAATTCCTACACCTTCGCTCATTCCTGGAGGGGGTAGGAGATCTTCTTAAACGCATACACTAACGAGAGCGACAGCGCGGTAGTCAAAACTAAATCCAAGGCTCTTCCATCGGTTGGCCCGCGGCCACTTGAATTGTACATATGCCCAAACCTGTTTTAAAGTGTTATGCTAAACTCCATTCAAGCTATGTCAATGTAACGAACCAGCCCATCTTTGCCGGCGGCGTGAAGTGTGATCAACAGCAGATCACCTTCTTCAACACCACGCTTTCTACAGGCGCAAGACATCACGATTTCTGCCCCTTACTTGCCGTCAGACAGTACTTTCAGGGATGTTTTTGGCTTGAAGGTGGATGTTGCTTTTATCGAAAACAATCTCCTTGAGTGTCCTTCGCTGAATGGTTTATAGTCATGTTTGTATCCATGGCGCTAAATCTGTTCTGAGGGTTATGTGACTTCCTGCTGTGCTGTGCTATGCTTTGCTCTAGGGCGAAGATGGTGGATCAGCGGGGGTAATTTGGAGGGGGATAATCCGTAACTCATACATGCAAAGATACGCCAGCCACCTTTATAGATACGGTAGACGCATGCTTCTACCATGTCTAACCGTGACCTTAAAACGAACATTTTTTGGATTATATAGCATTATACATATCCCTCCCAAAATACCGCCCCTATCCCCAATTCCCCTTTCAATCCCCAACCCAAAACTCGCGCCCAAACTCCCCCTCCAACCTTCTCATAAACCCTCCGCCCCCAACGCCCGCTCATCACTAATCACATAACTCAGTACGCTCAAATCCCAATACTGCATCATAACTCGCCACCTCTTCACGCCCCTTCTCCTCCGCGCTATCCCCCCATTACCCCCCTCACCAAGTGAGCCCTGCAACCCAGGTAACCACTCCGGCATTGGCGAGACAGCCACGCCGTGTAGTCCTGTGGTAGGGCGTTCGCGGTTGCGGCCTTCTTGGGAGGCGAGGGGGAGGATGGTTTCGAGTCGCATTGTTGTTGCGGGTATAGATCCTCCGTTTTCGCCCTTCTTCCCTCCATTCCCGGTCTTTCTCCCATTCTCGTCCTTTCCTCCATTCCCGTTCTTTTCTCCATTCCTGGTCTTTCCTTCATTTCCCTCCTTACCCCCTCTGCTTTCTCGAACGCCCCCTTTCATTATCCTCACAATACCCACCCTTCCGACCTGCGACCCGATCACGACGCAACTAATCCCGTGCACTGGCACCGCCATGTTCAAGCGGTTGTAGAACTCCATCGGGTGGGCGAATGGGGCTGACGCATGAGAAGAATCCTGGCGCAGTAGAGGGGAACAGAATGTCGCTCTGCCCGTCGGAGGATACAGTGTTAATGCGTGTCTGTTGAGATGTAGTATGAGATGATGCGGTGGGACTGGAACGGGAAGAGGTGAGGTGGGTGAGTTGGTTGCGGAATCTTCGCTTTCTTCCTCGTCATCATCGTCACCATCCATCTCCTCATCCCCATCAAAATCCTCATCATCCATCTCATCCGCATCCAACAAATCCCCCCAATAAAGCCCCAAATCCACCCCCTCCACATCCGTCACATCCAACCCCCCTCCCGCCCCATACCCCCACGCAAAAAACCCCCCTGGATAATCATCCACACTCTCCCTCGCCCCAACTCTCTGACCACGGACCACCGCAATCGAGCGACTGATATCCCATTCCCCCTCCCTGTCCCCAGGTGTACATCCAAACGCCTCTTCCACCTCCTTCGCGCCGCGCCCAAACTTGTCATCCAGCACAAGCACCCCCCATCCCTGGGGCTCGCGCCGCCAATTCACACCCCCCGGCGACGTAGGGATCCTTGTCTGCACGCCCCAATCCCAAAGCGAGAGAAACCACAGCGCCCCCCTAATATCCGAGGCGACGACACTATCCGCCTCTCCCCCCGGCGTCGACGTGAACGCGATGGAAGGGATATTATCCCCCCGCGTCCCCAACCGTAAGCACAGCCGGAAATTGTCGCAGCGAGATGGCGGGGAGGGGGGGAGTGGCGAGATCAAGGGGAAGTTGGATAAGGGGCGGCAGAGGGATGGCGAATGAGGGCGCGAAGGGGAGGGGGCGGCGGAGGAGAGCGCGAAGGCGAAAACTTGGACTTCATGCTTGTTGGAGCTTACGGCCAGGAGGCGCGATTGGGAGTGGATTGCGAGGCCCCAGGCGCTGATGCTGACGTTTTCGTGGAAGAAGGAGGCTGGTTGTGGCGATGTGAGTGGAGGGGTACTGGAGGGTGGAGTGGACGGAGGCGTGGAGGGAGTGGTGAGCGTGGCCCGGTAGACGGGCGTGGTGTAGTATGCGAGGACGTCGCCGTCGGCGCAGGCGCAGAGGATGATCTCACGGGTGCCGAGGTTGCCGACTATGAGATGGTTGATGCTGTGTGTGCTGTAGGCGTCTTTGTCGCGGAGGGCGTCGGCTTCGGGGGTGGAGGGGAGGTCGAGGATGAGAAGGGGTTCGGTGGCGAGGAATTGTTGGGGGCCGGTGGGTTTGTAGATGTGGATTTTGGAGCCGTAGGCTACGATGTACATCTTTGACGGTGCGTTAGTGAGGGGATTCATGGGTGGGAGGGGAGACTTGTTGAGGCGTCGAGGCAAGACTGGACCAGAAGATGAGGGGCTCCAACACAGATTCGACCACAGTTTGACGGATGAGGGCTTGCTCACATTATATACCTGCGAAAGCGCAGTAAGATTCATACCCCACGTCGCACATCGTGGGATCTCTATATCATTATCATCCACATATTTCCTCGGGTACTATCACAACTCATCAGCTCAGTTCAGCGTCGTCCATGCATCGCACCTCCAAGGTTACATGCAGAAATTACGAGGAGTAACTTACACGATCACGTCCGCTCTGGTGGCCCAGAGGCTTCACGGTGATTTCTTCGAAACCGCTGCGCGGACTCATAGCGAGCTAGATGCATGCTTTGGTGAGAAGCTGTTGGTAGAAAGTGTATCTGGGGTCGTAGAGTGAATCGTCAGTTTGGTTTCCGCGTTTGTGATGCTAGGGCGAGGCTGGCGACGAGGCTGGCGACGAGGCTGATTGACGTCGGATCCTGGTGGGACATCTTGGTTGTAATTGCAGTGAAGCCTTGATATAAAGATAATTTCCAGACTAACATATATATCCTTCTGGCCTGGGGACTATGTGTGAGGTTTCTGTAGCTGTAGGATTCAATTGAACAGGGCTGGGATTTTTATCCTTATAAGTCGGGCATATTTCTTGTCTGGTAGTAGGTCAGGCTGGGTGCTGGGGTTAACTCGGAAGGCTCGTTTTGAGCTCAGCACCCGCCTTGAGCTCCGGCTATTTTATGCAGACGTGGCCGGTTCCCTGCTACCGAAGAGGAGAATGAAGAATCTTGTAAGATTAAGTTAACCTCTGTTACAATTTGTTCTCTATAAGCGCCTTAAATCACGGAGAAGTGCATTTACCTCTCCCCACCAGCCAGCACAAATCGTAAGGTCGTCCGGTGGTACAAAATGCGAACCTTCCATGCCTTAGAACCGTAACTCCCTCAGCTCTCACATAGAAGGAAGAGCGAGCCACAAAAGCAAGCCTCAATGCTTTTTCTTCATCAACTCCAGCATATCTTTCATCCTGTAGTCCAACACCGGTGTCTCCCAATCATCCTCCACCAACGAATACGTCTCCTCGTCGTCATCTCTTGGCTTCCTGGGATTGATAGCCCAATACGCGAAATCCGCATCAATCTTCTTCAAATACCTCATCAAGTGGCGCCAGTATCTCGCATCCCCCTCCCCCGGCTTCGCTGGTGCTCCAAACTCCCCAACCCACACAGGCGCAATGTCCCCCTCAACCAGATACCCCCAATTCTCCCTCATCGACTTGACAAACGACGCATACGGCCTTTTCGCATACCGGCCATCCCGACTCCCCCACCCCGACCAACTATACACATGCGACGAATACACCACCCTCCCCGGCACCACTAGCCTAACTGGCCTCTCCCTCACCTCATTCAGGAAATTCTGCGAGCCCAATCCTCCAACCACAATCAACCAATCGCTCCTCATCCCCAACAACCTATTCCCCGCCCTCTCCGCCGCCCTCGCCCACCTCTCCCAACTCATCGTCCCCCAAAGCGCCCTGACCTCATTCCTCAAATCCGCAGCGATGACCAGGGGATTGTTCACATGCGGTTCCATAACCGTGACCCAGTTGTCCACCCATCCCGACTCGGACTGGTGGATCCGACATGCGGATGCCGGCAGGTGCGTGTTGTACCACAGCCCATCGCACGGATTGGCGCCGCAGCACCACGTCGCATGCGTAATATGGTTATTAACCACAACCGCCAGACCCTCCTCCGTGAGGGCGTTGATCACAGCTTCGAAGATGTCTAAGGCGCGGAGGTTGACGAGGTCGGGGTTCGCGGCGAGCAATGACGGGGGGATGCGAGGGTTGGTAACGACCATTTCGTCTGAATAAGGCAATCGCACACTATTAAACCCCAACTTCCGGATCGTCCTCGCGATAGCAGAGCGGTGCTGTATATCCAGCCCCGAGGGCACGAAGAGCTCATCACTCCCACCGTACCAATTCACCGACGCGAGCTTGATGGGTTTATCATCCGCATCGAGGATGTGCCGCCCGCTTGTGCGGAGCGGCGTCGCGGTAATGAGCGCGCTTGCGTACGATACGAGTTCGGAATCATTGCCCTTGATGCATTGCACGAAGAGGTCGATCTCGGGTGGCGGGACCCAGGGGTTGGAGAGCGCGGATTCGGCGCTGTGCCAGGTGAACATCACGTAGAGACCCGCTACCAGAAGGCAGCTCAGGAGGATGGGACTGAGCATTGGCATCGTGGGCGTTGCAGGGAGGGTGTTTGGAGGGGTCGGGGGACTATATCGTGAGGCCATCACGGTGGAGTGGAAATGTGATACAGTAGGTGAATACTCGCTCGGGATCCTCGGATGGCCTGACAACTGTCCTTACAACTGTTTGGCCTTTTTGAGCCAATCCAGGGCCGGATACAGGTAGACTAGGCAGCTGTCGGACGAGAGAAGTTGTTCTTACGCTGGTATGAAGCTAAAAAAAAATAGGGTGACGTTTAGCTTTCTTCATCTTTCATAATCGATGACGACAATTGTGTCGAATGATTGTCGCCGGAATAAGATAGGCCCTTGTCAACAATAGGCGCCTATTTCTTGGAGCTGTGATTCTGGCCCCAAGAACCAGGCAGAATCAGGCAACAACATCCTGAAACGTTGTTGCCTGATTCTGCCTGGGATGGATTAGGGTAGTTTCGTACATACTGTAGGATCTCCGAGCCAAACTTTGAAAAGCACGTGACCATATCGTTTAAGCGCCGCGAAACGAAGCTAGCAAGTGATAGAGTAATGATGCGCGCCCACCGATGATACGCGCCAGCGATAAGATTGTCAGCGGCAAAACGAAACCTCTTGTCTTTATTTAGATCAGCTGGATGGAGTCGAGAAGGATGGGCGGCTGCCATGGGGGCTGATCCTGAGAGAGCGGAAGGATCAATTAAGTAGGTGCCTTGGCGAGCTGTTCATGATGAGGTGGCCGCACGTCATGGCCGATAGATAGCCCGGTCACTGGATGCAGGTATAGTATAGGCAACCCCCGATACTCGAGAGTATGTTAGCATGTCTGACCTGCTGGTGATGAGAATAGGCGCTCGCTCCACTTCACTCTACACGACACTGCGAGTTTGTTGGACTTTGTCATGCTTTATGCGTTCGTTGGACGTCGTCATCATAATCCGGCGGAATAAGGTCGTGGGGTGCCTCACACTATCTCCCTCTTCCTCTCTCCCTCAACTATCCGAGGTAGATGTGGCTGAGTGAGAAAGCTGTGAGGGGCAAGAGACAAGAGACTGCTCCATATGCACCGTCGTGCAGCAGGTGTAACCCAAGGAGTGCGTGCAGCACAGCACCGGCCGGTCAGCAAAGGTGATGAGAGCGACCAGAGAAGGTCCGCGCCAAAGACACAGCGAATGGGAGCGCAGGGAAGACTGGATAGGGACCTGGGGAAACGAAGCCCTGATGCTGATGGGAGGGCCAAGAGGGAGTTGTTGAGTGGTGCTGTCTGTGTGTGGTAGGAGGAGCGTTATACCACACAGTCTCCACGACTGCATTTTCGTGTTCCTGTCAGGTTCCTGTCAGGTTCCTGTCAGTTCCCGTCAGGTTCCTGTCAGGTTCCTGTCGCGTTGCTGCCGCGATGTGATCACAGTGGTACTTTGCCAGGATTGGGGATAGGTGGAGTGGAGATGGTACTTTGTCACATGCAGGCGGACACATACAAGTGGATGTACCATCCCCTCTTTCCCATCCACTCACAGGCCGCCTCCACGAGTCCCGCTGTCCCACGCCGGTCCCACAACGCTCCCACAGTTTGTGATGTCGAGCGGCCCATCCCAGCCCTTCCCAGCCATGCCACCTCTCTTTTCCCAGCATCAGCCCCTGACTAGCAGGCCGTACCCTGCTAGTGTCGTTACAGATATGCTCCTCTCTTTCCCAATCCTGTCGTGCTTTGGTGATTTCTGGTGGCGTTTCCTTCGTTTCCTGCGTTTCCTGCGTTTCCTGGCTGATTTCCTTGTACCAGTCTACCAGCGTTATTGGTGAGAAGTACGAGTCTTGTGCTCAACAGTCCGCCCAGTCGACGAGGACGAGTTACCCAGTCACGTAGTGCTATCCTCGTATACCGCCGAGGTACCTGCTCGAAAAGGGTCTCTTCCCGCCTGCGCTACAGGTATCTATGGTATCAATTCAAAGCTCACGCTTGAGCTAAGTTAAGGGAAAAGGGCCTCACTCACAAAGGTCACTTCTGTCCGCCGTTATACCATCAAACCGTGCTACCGGCGATATTCATAGCACTGTTCGGCTTCGAAACTACTCCCAGCGTTTACTCCGTGACATGAGACTTAGCGAGGATCACAAACAGAAACCCAACCCAACGTTTCCCACTCCTCTTCGTACCCGCTCACATGCGCCCGCTGTTTCGGAGGAGGCGGCCCACCTGTTTTGTGAAATAGTCCATCCCCAAGATCCTGGGAAATAGTGCTCCTGCCGAAACAACTTTCCACGACCATCTCCAGAACCTGCATCACCTTCCTCAGTCGGTCCTCCATCCTCGCCCATCGACATCTCCCTCTGTTTCCACGACGTCGGGTAAATTGGAACAACCCTTCCCGATCCTCTGACGGATCAGCTCGTCCTCCGGTTTCTAAACGACGTTTCGCTCGAAGACAACGCCGAGTCGTGCTGCAGGTGAAGACATCGATTGTTTCGGCCGTGTGTTCTGCTTCGCTGAATCAACTGAAAACAAGCCCTCACTCCCGCTTCAAACACTCGACTCCGAAGCCAGCCTCTTTATTGTACACATTGATAGACGACCTGGGGATCCAATTTTTCGAACTCTCATCTCCGGGAGCAAACATTGAACTCCCTCCACCTTGAACGACCTCCCTTACTCGGATACAGGACGACATTTTACACTGACTATCCTGCGAAGTTGCCAAATTGCCAAAGCCATGTTCCAATAGATATACACGACCCCCGATTTTATTACTTTGCGGAATATCTCAGCTGAGATTATACACCCTCTCGTCGATATACGATGTCGATGTCACTTCCCGTCCCAGCAGTCCCGCTCAGCGGCTGCTCCACTATCTACAACAATACCCTCTACACCTATTCCGCCGACGCATTCCAAGCACTACCATTAGATAAGGGAGCCTCATGGGAGCAATTACCTGCAGGCGTCTCTGTGACCGGAGCAGTCTGCGTGCAAGCCACCTCACATAATGCGTCGTCGCCAGCGGCCCTCTACATCGTCGGAGGAAGCGCAAATGCATCGGGGACGAGTTATCAAGGCCTCCAAAGATATATTTTCCAAGATAGCACCTGGGAGTCTATCTCGCTCTCATCGGCAGTAACGCAGAACCGCCTATACCACAACGCCATCTACCTCAATGCTTCATCCTCGATATTCATATATGCTGGGAATCAAGATGGCACGAAGCAGCTTAGTTCGGAATCATTCACCATCTCGACCATAGCGCCGTATGAAGTCCGATCTTTCCCATCAATCGCCCCACCAGGAACTGAGCCCATGCTACTTACCTGGTCCGATAGCCAAGCTGCCATGCTTGGAGGAAGCGACGCCAACACGAAAGTCATGTTGTTCAAGCAAACCACCGACCCGATGTTGGCATGGGAGGACTCTAAAATCACACTGGACGCCCCGTTGAAGAGTGACGGGACCGTGAAGACTGCCATTGTCAACGGCGATGATAAAAGCAAAAGTCTATATACGTTCGATATGACTGTGTCACCTAATTCGGTGAACCGAATGCTATTGGTTGACCAGAATGGAAAACCCATGACCAATGCCAAAGCCCTCAAATCACGGAGTTCCAACGAAGTTCGCGACATTGCTGAGAGAGCTACCCTCACAGCCACGGATTGGCCACCATATAACGTATCACTTGCCCCGAAAACCACACGCACCAAATACTCAATCGCACAAGATGCGGACGATCGCATTATCATCTCCGGGGGTAACAAGGACGATGTCTTGTCCATATTCAAGGCAAGGGAGAATTCGTGGGAAAACGCGGCTGCGCTTCTATCCAAGGCACAGGTTCCGATCGGAACTCAAAACACGCCCACGTCAGTTTCCAAAGAAGCTCCAGCAGCTTCTTCAAGTGCAGCAGTAGCTGCAGAAGCTTCTTCGCAACTCAGACGCAGACTTCTGGGAATTATCATTGGCTCTGTGGGAGGATTTGTTGTGATAGTGCTGGCCATACTCTTCTGCATTAGGAGGAGGCGCAAGCAGCGCGTGTTCGCCGAAGCGGGCCACCAAAGGAGAGCGAGTGGTATCCCCGATGAGAAAGACCCGATGGAATTTGCAGACCGTGGAATGCGCTTCGACCCTACCAAACGCTACCAGGAACATGCTCCCAAGACCTCACAAGCCTCATATTCATCAATGACCATCTTGATGGGGAAGATTAGTTCGACACAGCAACCGGCTCTCGGCAGAAGAGGCGGCAGCAATAGTAGCACCGCTAGCAGCAACTTCAACAAGAACTACAAGAACACGATCAGCAAGCCCATCCCCCAGGGTAGCGCAGTACCCGAAACCTACGCACGAACCGAACGCCCACCAGTCGTCGGCGGCTCAAACGCGGGACCAACACCCCGACCCCGCGGAAGCGGCGTAAACCGCCAAGGAAGCACCCGCCGCAGCTCAGGATGGAACCGCTACTGGTCCGGCGGCAGCGCCCTTAACGTCCTCGGCTTCGGCAATAAACGCGCCACATACGGCTCCCAGTCCGACCAGGGCTCCATGTACTCCGAGACCGCGCACTCTACCCGGGGAACCCAGCAATCCGCCATGGTGCCTCCGCTGAACTTAGGGTCGCAGAAGGGACGCCTCAGCCAGGTCGCCTCGGGGAGTCCGACGATCGCGCACCAGGAGAGGAATTTACCCTTGGAGGAGGGGATGTCGGGTAAGATCGAGCGTCCGCACTCGGCTGTTAGTAGCGTGTCGAGCTATGGCGATCTGAGGGATGCATATCCGGGGGTGGCGTCGAGTATTAATGAGGAGCATCAGACGTGGACGCCGGTGGGAGGAGAGAGGGGGTGGAATCAGGGGGAGCGCGTGGCGAGTAGCTCGTATACGGAGAGTCAGTATGGGACGCCGCGCGCGACGATGGTGGAGGGGAGGAGTGGACATCAGGGGCTGAATGAGCAGTCCACGGATATGAGTTGGTTGAATCTGGGGGACAACAGGCATTGAGGAGGCAGGCAGATGAATGTCTTTCACTGTCACTGTCACTCTTACCGCCCTCACCGCTGCTGCCGCCGAAATAAATCACTCACTCACTCACTCACGCCCACACACTCTCTCTTGTCGAAACGGGTTTTTTTTGGCAAGGGGGAATAAAAAGCAACTTTAGACCGACACTTTTACCTCACGCACACACACACACACTTTTTGAGCGCCCACATTTTTTTGTAGCATGTCGAAGCGGCGCGCGCAAGGTTTTCGATATCATAGTTTTCGGCGCATCCGTCCTTGCCTTTGCACACTCTAGCGAGCGAGCGAAATCTGAGAAAGCGGGAATCTGGATGCGGGATCACAGGGGATAATTATTCGATTTTTTTGGGGGGGAGGAGTTTGGAGTTACACCTTTTGTTTTGTGTATGGAGTTTATGATGGATATGATTTGTATGGGTATCATAGGGAGTTTTTTTAACAACTACCTGACTGGCTGATCTGACAACTGTGTTGTTCTGTTTTTTTCTTGTTACTTGGCTACGCTTTTTTTGTTTGTTTGGGCTTGCAGATACGGAGGGGGCGAATACCAGATGCTTGGGTCCAGGGCATACCAGAATCTGTGGATGGGAGAGGGATGAGGAAGGATGGGAGAGGGGCGAATACAGTGTCGGGGGAGAAGAGAGAGAAGATGTGTGAGATGAGATGTAGGCGCTGGATAGTAGATGGAAGAGATTACTGTAGCCTACACTTACATATCTTCCTTACTACGGTGGATCCGTAATGGAGGCGGGAAGAGACATATTTCCAACAACCCAACCCAACACCAAAGTGCCTCCCTCATCGTGACTTCCCTTTGTCTGTCCTATCCTATCCCCTTCTTCCTTGTACCTCCGAAGACCTTCACCTGTACCTGCATTCCCATCTCCCCCACTATCAATCGCCTCCTCCCTCCCGCTCACTACGAAACCTCCCGCCCCGCCCGGCCCAGCCGTGCAGGGAAATAACATGCAGATGAAATGAGATGGGATGACATTTTCAACCTACTAGAATGGATGGAAGCCCACCCAGACCACCCAGCTGACAACCTAGTTAGAGGGAGGGAGATATGACCCTAGTTCGATATTAGATGTGCATGTGAACGCCCGCCAAGCAGCCTCGAGAATGCTGGACTGGGCCGCCTCGTACATAGCCTTGTCGGGGGTCTTGCCACTCACATCTAGCCACTAGGCCACTTCAGCAGCGCTCCGTTTAGGACATCACTTCTGTTACACATTAGCATCTAGATTACGGTTTGTAGTGCTTCTACTATTAATAGAAGAGTATTTATCATTATAAACTATATACACGTATATTATATCCCTTTCTATCCATCTGTACTCTAACGTGTCTGTTGTAATAGATGTAGTATTTGACTCACATCTTACATGTAGTTCTTAGAGTTTTGATTCAACACTCTCGATAGCTTTTGCGTTTGACCACTTAGCAGCATTAGCGCTTGCTAAAAGCTTAGTAGTCCTTACAATACTCTAAGCTATTTCGAGGATCACATCTTTATAAGAGGGTAGAGGGGGGTCTTTAGTGTGCTGTTTCCGCTTTTGTCTTAGTTAAGAAGCTGAAGTTAACAGCGTAGGGGACTTGGAAATATAAGAATCAGAGAGGATAGAGTCGTAGAGGATTGACTTAGAAGGCGGAATAGAAGACTCTATTGAGTTCAATAAATTTCGATGTGAGAACTAGGTAGTTTAAGCAGTTCGCCATGTAATAGACGCTTGGGTTTCTACTTCCTTCATCCCTTTTACTATGTCCCGAATCGATTCCTTATTAGCCTGTATATTAACGATATTAATCCACTAGTCAACTGCATTGTAGGAGGATCTTCTTCACCACTTCTTCCTTCTAGCCATAGTGAGACTTCACTCTAGCACTCTTAAATAAGACTGGTAATAACTCTTCTAACAGAGCTATAGGTTGAACCTAGTAAGTGTTCTGCCTCCTTAGTTATAAGCTGCTAAATGGATCTATCTGTAATAATGAATTATGATGCTAAAGTGGCCTACTGCTAGGGGTGTTAGTATAGGGAGTTAGGGGTGGCTGCTACTAGGGAGGCTGGCTGCTAGCTATAGAGAACACTAGTGGCTATAAGCAACGTAACAGGAATTGTTGTCTTTGGTCTATTGTAAGCCCCTTCCCCCCCCCCCCTTTCGATGTTATAATGCCATTAGCCTAGCTACTCTAAGCTAAAGCCTTTGAGATAGTAGAATCACTAGTTTCATCACTAGTTTCGGGCAATTCAAGCTAATGTTCGCTAGCAGTATCAGTTGAGAGTTTATGAGGCAGAGTTAGGTAGGCTAGGGCTGTGCTATAGGCACTTGATATTGCAAATAGGGGTTGGTAAAAGCGTTATTCATTATTATATATAACTATACAGTTGATAATATATATATAGCTTCATTTTCTAACGTTGATTTTACTTATAATACTAACGTATTTAGGACCAGACTTGAGGTGGGAAAGTCAAGGACCAGCAAGGTGACATTCGTTGCACTCAGTTTGCTATCAAACTCAAGAGCAAACTTAGAAATCTCCTCCTCAAACCTACAAGTCACTATACATATTTTGGCTTATCACACCAACAACAAGAGCAATACTACTCAACGATTGCTACAACCCTCTATGATTCATTACACGTCATCGCTCCTTAGTTACTGGGCTGATATTATCACATAGCATATCTCTACAACCCTCTATGATTCATTACATGACATCACTCCTTAGTTACTGGGCTAATACTACACATGACATATCTCTATCAACTAGAGGCCTAGGAACATAAACGATAGCTCCAAAAGCTTCTACAACCCTCTATGATTCATTACACGTCATCGCTCCTTAGTTACCCACAAGATTGGTTAAGTTATGACATAATTTGTCTATAGGGGTACTCTGACCTTGGACCTCCTTTTACTTCCTATAGGCTAGGAACCTAGGAGATGGTTCTATGGGATTCTCTTACATCGACTACAGTTACCAAGCCTGGTTAGTCATGGAAAGTCTTGGAAAATGAGAGAACTACACTCCTTTAGCATAAATAGGATTGCCCTTTCCTTAAGAAAGGGCAAGCAGACAATACAGTAAATCGACTAGCACATACTTCTACGTCTTTTCCAAGCTTCTAAGCATTGATCTTGTTATTCTTTGTTTCTGAAAAGTCAGTGAGGTGCTAACCTCTGACTTACCCCTGAGTTCTCAGACTCAACATTTGTTACAACTTGTCTAAACCACTTCACTACATTGTACACCTGATTGCTGCGTTGTGGAATAGTCTAAGCTACAATTTGGCTCTGTTTCCTAAGACAGTGTGTTGTCTTAGTAAAATCATCCCTTCCTTGGGTGGCTAGATTCTCACATCTGGTGCACCCACCATTACACTTTGCTAGACAGAGCCAAAGACTCTCTTAACCTCAATCCTAGCAGGGGACAGAGTAGTGTTCCATTGCTACTACTCCTTAGTTAAGCTAAAATGCCTAAGCAAATGCTTAAACGGGCATGTAGTGCTAAAGGCAGCTAAGTAGGCTAGGTTGCCAAAGACATAGAGGGTCTTGTGACCCTCTGTTGAAGTGTATGATATCACTTGCAGCGGTAGTATAAGTCATCAAGTTGAGTTGAACAACAGTTCACTGGAATATGTGTAATATTGTTGTTATTCTGAGTGAAGCTATCTACAGAACTATTTGTAATGGTGGGTGCACCAGATGTGAGAATCTAGCCACCCAAGGAAGGGATGATTTTACTAAGACAACACACTGTCTTAGGAAACAGAGCCAAAGGGTTGTAGCTTAGACTATTCCACAACGCAGCAATCAGGTGTGTGATGTAGTGAAGTGGTTCAGACAAGTTGCAACAAATGTTGATTCTGGGAACTCAGGGGTAAGTCAGAGGTTAACACCTCACTGACTTTTCAGAAACAAGGAGTAACAAGATGAATGCTTGGAAGCTTGGAAAAGATGTGGAAGTATGTGATAGTCGATTTACTGTATTGTCTGCTTGCCCTTTCTTAAGGAAAGGGCAATCCTATTTATGCTAAAGGAATGTAGTTCTCTCATTTTCCAAGACTTTCCATGACTTACCAGGCTTGGTAACTGTAGTCGACGTAAGAGAATCCCATAGAACCATCTCTTAGGTTCGTAGCCTATAGGAAGTAAAAGGAGGTCCAAGGTCAGAGTACCCCTATAGACAAATTATGTCATAACTTAACCAATCTTGTGGGTAACTAAGGAGCGATGACGTGTAATGAATCATAGAGGGTTGTAGAAGCTTTTGGAGCTATCGTTTATGTTCCTAGGCCTCTAGTTGATAGAGATATGTCATGTGTAGTATTAGCCCAGTAACTAAGGAGTGATGTCATGTAATGAATCATAGAGGGTTGTAGAGATATGCTATGTGATAATATCAGCCCAGTAACTAAGGAGCGATGACGTGTAATGAATCATAGATGGTTGTAGCAATCGTTGAGTAGTATTGCTCTTGTTGCTGGTGTGATAAGCCAAAATATGTATAGTGACTTGTAGGTTTGAGGAGGAGATTTCCAAGTTTGCTCTTGAGTTTGATAGCAAACTGAGTGCAACGAATGTCAGTATGACACTATTTGTGGGTGGTCCGCAACCCGATTCAGTTGGCGAGCCACACGCCCAACCAATCAGTCTGAGCAACCTCCTCCTTCAACACCCTCTATGATCTGTTAAGAGGTTAGCACTAGTTACAAGAGGGGGGAAGGGGGGACTTACCTTATAGATAGCTACGTGGTAGCTAGACTTACACTACATAGCCTAGTCATTAACTAGGCTAGTAAATGGCCCTACAAGCAAGCTAATTAAGCCATCTAGGGTATAGATGGCTTGCTAGTTAATGCCATGAAGGCGCTTGTGCCTAGAGAACACAGCTCTCTAGGCCACATTGCCTTGTAGCTAGTAATGTAGATGGAAAGTGCCATCTATAAAGCCCTAGACCCCCCTCTCCCTATAGACTCTCTCGACCCTAGTAGTAAACTCTGCTAGCTAATGGTATGTCAACTAGTAGTGCCACTAGAGAGTCAGCCTAAACTAGGCTGCGAGGAATAGCACTATGTCATTAAACATAGTGCTAAGCTAGGCCTTAGAAGAGTGTCTAAAGACATGACAGAGGCTGACCTAGCAGCCTAGGTAGGCCAGTCTAGCACAGACAACGCAGAGAGCAGTCTCTATAGTCAGTGTTACGATTATAGCTTACGGTTGTTACAGTTGTTATGGTTGTTATGGTTGTTATGGTTGTTATGGTTGTTATGGTTGTTATGGTTGTTATGGTTGTTACGGTTGTTACGGTTGTTACGGTTGTTACGGTTGTTACAGTTGTTACGGTTGTTACGGTTGTTACGGTTGTTATGGGTGCAGCCTTAGCCGCCAAGGCTACAACCGCTAAGCCGACAACTGTATATTACGAGGAATAGCCTCACCTTCCTTCCTTCTTCTTCTTCTTCTCTCTTTAGATTCAATCTAGCTTATTATTCTCCGACTGGCTTCTTGACCTCCGTGACCATCGTAACAGTCAGTGCTAGACGTCTCTGCTAAGTCACCTCCTTGATACAGAGCAGGGGAATCAGCTAGCGTAGTTCCTGTTCTGTGAACCAGAACAGGCGCTACGGATTACCTAGGGGCAGGTCCCCTAGGCAGAACGACTAGTGTTCATAAATGAACACTAGCTGGTAAACCACTCGTAGCAACCGCTACTGCTGCTGTTCAATTAGGCGGCGACGATACATCGTTGGTACCTAGGCTGTTGCTGCGACGAGCAACAACAGCAGGAGCACCTCCCCCTTATCCCGCCCCTCGTCCTCCTTGTGTGCTAACGCTTAGCGCCAGTCTTAGCAAGGGCTTCTGAGTGCCTCGCGACGAGGGCTTATAAGTGCCTCGTGACGAGGGCTTCTAAGTGCCTTGCAATGAGGGCTTCTAAGTGCCTCGCAATGAGGCTTTCTAAGTGCCTCGCAACGAGGGCTTGCGAGTGCCTCATTAAGGGCGGCGGCCCTGCTGATCGTCAGGGTCGACGGGCATAGTGGTGATGGCAGGGTATAGGCGCCTTTGACTAGAAATTGCCATATATGGCAATTTCTTGGTCTAGAGAGCCTAGCGCTGATTTGGGAATAGAGGGGCAGGGGCCTTGGTTACTGTCACACGCTAAAAGTGCGACAGTAATTCATTCAGTTGCTAAATTGCTCTAATACCCAGGTGTTCGCGACAATTCATTGTTGAGTTATTTACAATTAAGTTATCTGAAGTTGGTGGGGTAAATCCACCGCGTTACCCAGTTCCCCCCCGCATTACACCGTCACTTACGTTAATGTATTATAGTATAGACGTATTATCGAGTTTTTTTTTGGGGGGGGGGGTGGGTTACTTACGTGGGATGGTAGAGGGAGGGAAGCCGACGGGGGGATTCGGACAGTGGGTGGTGGGTGAGTGGGTGAGTGGGTGGGAATTGCTGTAGGTTTTTAGTTAGCAGTTAGTACTACCGTTCGGTGACCCCCAAATTCCTAGACTGGCCATTTCCTAGACTGGCCATTTCCTAGACTGGCCACGGGCATTTCCTCTTATATAGACGCGGCTGCTGCACCCGATACTGCAGGTTTTGTACTGCAGGTTTTGGGATGGTTATATGGGAATTATGGCTATACTCCTCTATATTCCTCTATACATGGACATGGACATGACTGGTAAAAACGGGAATAACGGGTTACGGGTTACTCGGAAGGAATATTCGCTCTATATTATACTCCTCTATACTCCTCTATACTTATCCTTCTCCTCTATCCCCTCTATCTCCTCTATCCCCTCTATCCCCTCTATCCCCTCTATCCCCTCTATTCCCTCTATTCCCCAACACTAACCATCAAACATCTACAACTCATCTGAAGCCACTGGAAACAACCTGCGTCGGAACAATTAAATCCTCGAACTACACTACTACTCATCCTAGCTAGCTAGTGGCAATGTAGCAATTGAAAGATGTGGGGGTTAGTCAAAAGTGACTTGCAGATACCCGCCCCAATATCGTCTCCAGTATGTCACTTCTCGCTATTCCCACTATTCCCACTCTACCACTTTCAACCATAGTCTCCAGGGTGGACACCCTTAGCCCGCCGCATCTCCTCCGATCAGAGCCCTCTGTCAAAAGCTCTGCCGCATCTCCATCTCACCCGTCTCCAATACATACCGTCGCCATCCCACCGCCGCAATCCATCTTACGTCGCCGTCCCCGAGGAAAAATCGCAGCCGAGTCGACAGGCAGAGGCCGCCCATCACCACAACCGCACCGCCGCTCGATAAGGGTCTTCGCTCGCGGCGCTGCGACGGCACCACCACCACCGCCCCCCCCCCACCTACCCCCCACGCCGAGCACCCACCCAAACCACCACACCCGACTCCACGACGATGATGGACACGACGACGCCGTGGGAGAGCAGCGATCCGACGCTGTCGGCGCCTTCGCAGGATGACTTTCAGTTTCTCGATTTGGGGATCAATGGCATGGGTGACGAGGTGGGGTTTAATTTCCAGGACTATGCCTCGCAGCAACAGCAGAATCAGCAACAGCAACAACAGCAGCAGCAGCATGCGCAGATTATGAGACAGAGGGGCGTTGATGCGATGGGCTCGACAATGGGGAATGAGGCCGCGATGATGGATCTCCAGAAGCACGGGATGATGCAGAACCACATGCCAATTACGACGAGCGCGACCATGTCAGCGATGACCCAGCCCTCGCCGGTGATCACGCAGAACGCAGCGGCGCCGGACAACAGCCTCGTCGAGATCGATGCGCAGATCCAGTACCTCCAGTTGCAGCGCCAGCAGCAGCAGCAGCGCATTGTGCAGGAGCAGCATCAGAATTACTATGTCCCACACAACAATCGTGTTGTGCCGCCCACCCCGAATAGCATTGAGATGCACAGTGGGGAGAGGCAGCTGTATCATCAGCAGCACGATTCGCAGCAGCAGGCGATGTTTGATTCTTATCAGATGCGCCTGAGGGAGCAGGAGGTATGGAGAACTTGAAGTACACCCCTTCCGAATATCTTACTAACTCAAATAAAAGCTCGCATTCACACCCCTCGTTTCCCCCGCCGTCACCCCATTGGAAACTCACTTCAGCCTCCCAGAGTACACCATCCCAGGCGCCTACTTCAGCCCCCTCAGCTCCCCCGCCCTGCACGCCCACACCGAGTACAGCTCCATGTACTCGACCTCCCGTGCCGAGGCCTCCGCCTCCTCCCCCTCAGACATGAACATCGACCTCCTCCCCCCGCCCGCCAACTCCACCGGCCCAGGACGCAAGCACTCCATCGCGGGGGGCCGGAAACCCGCCAAGCCGCGTGCTACGCGGGCAGTCCGCCAGTCCCCCGTCGTCAAGGCGCAGAGAAGGAAAATGACAAGCACCACGATATCAGCCGAGACGCTGTCTGAGCTCGTCGAGCCAGCGCTGGCAGCGAGGCGCGCGTCGACGAACTCGCCATCGCAGCCTCAGCCACGAGATTCCTCATCGGAGAATAACTCCATCTCCCCCGAGCATCTCTCCGACATGGCCCCCCCTCCCCTCCCCTCCTCCAACTCCGTCAGGAAATCCCCCTACCTCACGGCGCAAAACAGCCATCCGCGCGTGCAACAAATCATCTCCGGCACCGCAGCAATGTCCCCCGCCACCCCGGCATCCCTAATGCGCATCCCGCGCAACAAGGAGACCATGGCCTCACCATCACTCAGCGTGCACGCCGAGCAGGGCGACGACCAGCTAATGGAAGATTTCGTCCTCCCCGAAGCCGCGAATCCGCACGCCGAACCCCCTATGGCCGCTACACTCGAAAATAACAACAACGCCAGTGCCGCCGCATCCCTCCCCACCCCCGACCTCTCCCGCACGCCGTCCTTCAAACCCCTCAACGACCGCGATACGACTTCCACCTCAAATACCACCAACAAAAACCCCACGCCCTCCCCGCAAATAAAACCTCAACCCCCAACGCCAAACCCAACATCCAACCCCCCCCCCGCAAAACTCCCAAACTCGCCGCCCGCGGCTCAGCACCGCGCCCACCATCCGTGCACGCCTCCCCCGCGCTGCTCCCGCGCATCTCGCCCAGCCTGAAGCCGATGACGCGGGGCCCCTCGATCAGCGATGATACGGCCTCGCTGCTGTTGGCGACGAAGTCGAATTACCAGAATATCCTCGAGGGAACCCATCTCCCCGGTATCTCGTACCCGACGGAGTTGAGCACCAACTTGACGTCAAAGCGGACGAGTCATAAAATTGCGGAGCAGGGGAGGAGGAATAGGATTAACTCCGCGTTGCAGGAGATTGCGACGCTTTTGCCGGGGAGTGCGGCGGCGGGGAGTGGGAGTGGAGATGCGGAGGGTGGAGAGGGAGAAAAGGGGGGGGGGAAGAATCAGCAGCAGAGTAGTAGTAGTAAGGCGAGCACGGTGGAGCATGCTATTGAGTATATTAAGGCGCTGAGGGGGGAGGTGGAGGAGGCGACGAGGAGGGCGGAGAGGGCGGAGAAGGCGTTGGCGGAGCAGCAGGGGGCGGGGGCGATGGAGACTTAGGTTGGGCGGTCTTGGGAAATGGAGAGATGGTTGATGGGTGATGGTTATTATGGTAATGGTTATTATGGTAATGGTTTGGTTTGGGGAAAGTTTGATGTGTTTTTTGCGGGCGTTTTTGGGGGGTGGTTAATGGGAAATGTGTTCGTGTATTATAATACTATCTAGCCTGGCGGGTTGAAGGCGATTAGCACATAGCGATTCGATGAATCAAGATTTATTGCAAAACAGATAGATTGAATATCTATTCACACATCCTCACCAACATGACACGAAATACCCAGACCACACCATACCAACAGCTCCGCCTCCGTATTCTCGCCTACACCTGTATTCTCGCCTACACCTCCCTTCATCAGTCATTAGTGTAGGTCGTGCGTGTGGTGACCCCCACGCCCAAGTACCACCAAGTACCATCCATCCCTCCTCGCCCATCACTAGCGCACAAGCCGAATCCCAGTAAATACATACCGCATCGGTTTTTATACAGCAGCATACTCACAGCCTCAATACCTAGCTCACGATTTCACCCGCTCAGTTCATTAACACGATACCCGCGCGATCAAAGCTTTACGAGAACGATGGCGTCCCGCGCATTCACACCCGCTGCGCTCCGCCGCGTCGCGACAACAGCTGCACCGAGGTGCGCCCGCGCGTTTCAGACGACGGCGAGGAGGGCGGAGGAGGGGAGATCGTTGCCTGTTAGGAAGCCTGTTGGTGCTTTTCGTGGGGGGTGAGTCTTCTTCTTTCTTTGCGCTCTTTTCCTCCCGTTTGCTACCTGTCCCTTGCGCTTGGGCGGTGTGGCGAGGGAGATGATGCGGTGGACGCGGATTGGGAGGATAGGGGGAATGGGTGGTGGATGGAGGGGAAGAGGGGGAAAGATAGTGGATGGGCAGAGGCTAATGAGGGATATAGGTTATTCGGATTCTTCCTCGGTAGCTCCTTGACGGGCGCGGGGGTGTATTATTACGTCCTTGAGGAGTATCGGGTTGCGAATGAGCTGTTGACGGAGGATATATACGTATGTTGGCCCCATCCCCCCCCCTTCGCCCCACCAACTACGGCTGTTCTTTTTCGCAGCGAGAGGGAGAAGAGAGAGAGGCAGTGCGGTAGTTTGATGTGTGGGATTATAGCTAACACGATGGTGTTCTAGTCCCTACAAGCCGCGGTGCAGCGCGTGCACGCCTACGTCGAGACGTTGGAGGAGAAGCTGGATAATACTGAGAGGAGGAAGTAAACCAGTGGACAGTGTATATGGCGGAGATACATGTCATGGAGAGGTCTGGCTGGGCTGGACTGGATTGGGATGGGAAAGGTGGTGATGGGGGGAGGGAAATAGCGAATGTTTTCAGCGGCTTGATGGGACTGTAGCGAAATGGGGATTTGAGCGTGAGATTGTATATGATCTCTATGGATACCTTGACGTGTATATTCTACGTTGCCTTGCTGTGATATGTTATGCTATATCCCAATAATTTCCCCTACTATATAACTTTTACCCACCACTCAGCCTCGTCACCAAAACTCCCTCCCACAGCCTCGCCTCCCACCTCATCCCCCATTACCACCCTTCCACCTCTACCTCTCCATCCACCACCACAATCACACCCGTAAACGACACAACAATGGACCTCTTCGGCGTCCATGACCTCCCAACCTCCAAATCCGCCTCCGCAGGCTGGGCCTACATCCCCGACACCCTCTCCAGCGCCGCGGCCCCCGCCTCCCGCAAACGCGCCCGCCACACCGCCAGCGCGCACGATCAGAGCGCCAGGCAGGATGCGAAAATCGCAAGGGACCTGGCGGCATTGGAGAGGGAGGGGGGGGGGAGGGAGGTGAGTATCCCGATTCCGGTGGTGGTTAGGGGGAGGGATGGGGCGGGGAGGGGTGAGTTTTGTCTTTCCTTTAACTACTTCATCCTTCTTACACTTGTTGCGCGCCTTTGCTACCTGCCGTGATTCCCGAGGCTGGGAGTGGAGGAGAGGGTAGGGGGGAAGCGCGCTGATGGGAAAACTAAGAGAGATGAGATAGAAGCTAACATGACAAAAGCAACACACGGCAAGGTAACCCCCGCCGTCCGCAAAATCCTCCAATCCCAAAAAACATTCGCAAACCACCTCTCCGACGCCGAAGCTCTCGCTACTCTCGCCCCCCCTCCTTCCTCTGCCGCCGCCGCTGTCCCCTCCACAACCACAACCGCCGCCGCTGCTGCCACACCACCCCCAGCTCCCACTGCACCATCTTCGAAACGCAAATACAAGCGCCGCTCCCTCGCTGCTGGGTCGACTTCCACCCCTTCCCCAACCAAAAGCGAGACACCACAACCCCAACAGGATACAGACATGCCCGACGCAGACACAGGAACCCTTCTAGCAATCGCCCCCCGCTTCACCCCCCACCCCGGCGACAGCGACCCCCTCCTGCGCTCACGGATCCCCAGTATGCCCACGTCATCAGAAGTCGAGACCTTGTTAGCGGAGCGGCCTAGGGGGTATTTGGAAGCTAAGGCGGGGTTTGATGGGGCAACAGGAGGAGGAAGGGTGAAGGGAAGGAGGTTCTGTGAGGTTTGTGGGTATTGGGGACGGGTGAGGTGTATGGCTTGTGGGACGAGGTGTTGTGCTTTGGAGTGTTTGGGGGTGCATAGGGAGGTGTGTTTTGGGGGGTATGGTGCTTAGACTGGTTGGGCTGGGAGGGGGTATGGGAATGGCGTTTTGGGAGGGAGATATACATTGCTGCGTTGAAGGGCTGGGGGGGTTATTATCGGTGTGCTTTATAGCTGTGAGGAGCAGTTGGTGAAGAGAGATAAAATAAATATATATCCAACGTCTATCCTCTATCATCGTACACATCCCTCTAACCATTACACGCAACCGCTCCCTCCGCTCATACATGAAACGCACCCCTCCACCCTCTAACCATTACACGCAACCGCTCCCTCCGCTCATACATGAAACGCACCCCTATCCTCCACCCTCTATATAAAAACGAAAGTAATAAAAGTCTACTCATTCAACCTGCTCCCCTCCCCCCCCAAGAAACTCCACCACAACCCCAACCACCTCCCCAACATCCGTAACCACAAAATCATGCGCCGCCTCCACCTCCACATACCTCACCCTCCCCTCCCCCAGCAGCTTCTCCGCATCCTCCCTCACCTCCCCAGGAAGCACAATCGGATCCTCCGTCCCCACCACAAGCAGCACCTCATCCTCCCTCCCCCTGCGCAGCCTCTCCCAAATCTCCTGCTGTCCAGTTATGGGCGCATAGCGGATACAAGATAGGAATGCGGGCACGAAGCCGGGGTGGTTGCGTAGTTGCCACTGCACGGCCTCCGGGACGGTGAGGTGGGGGCGGGTTAGGGAGAGGGGCGTAAAATCCGGGTTCGGCACCCCCTCCTGGCCTGGCAGCTCGGCGGTGAGGACTTCAGCAGGTGCTTTATTCTCTTTCGCGTACATGGGCCCAGCCAACAACCGTCTCTCACACAACCACACAAGCCAGCTCTCGGGGATGAGTCCGGTGCAGTAGAGGACTTTGCTCCTCGAACTCATATGTTGCGGCCTTATCAACCCCGCGGGCGCGAGTAACACGAGTTTACTCACGAGATGGGGGAAGTAAGACGCGAAACCAGACGCGATCCCGCCCCCCAAAGAATAGCCGAGGATGGTGAACCCACCCGGGACGCACCAGGAGAGGTGGGAGGAGGAGAGCACGAGGAGGAGTTGCGTGGTGTACAGCCGCAGGTCGTGGGGGAGGGAGGTGGGGGTATCGCTGTAGCCGCGGCCGAAGAGGTCCTGGGGTGGGTGTTAGCGGGGGATGGGGAAAAGGGGGGGGATTGGGGGAGGGGGAGGAGATGGGGCGGAAGGGGGGGAGTACAAATAGCATAACGCGGTACCCCTTCTCGACGAGGCCGCGGGCGAGGCCGCCGAGCGCGAGGCAGGGTGTTGTGATGCCGTGCACCATTAGGATTTTGGGGCCGTCTTCTGGACCCCATTCGTGGACTCTTATCGAGCCATACTATACACTCATCAGTTTCCTTCTGCCTATCTCAGGGAGTAACGGGAGAGTGGATCAGATCAGATCGGATCGTTTTGGGAAGGCTGGACAGGAAGCATACCGGTGTATCGACATCCCTCCCCCCCGGCAAGATATCAGGCGGGTACGAAAGAGCATCGCGGGCCGCCTGGTCGAGGCGCGGGAGCAGCGTGGAGGTGGGACCGCGGGTTGTGAGCGGGGGTGCGGAGAGGGCGAGGCGGGTGAGGTGGAGGAGGGAGAGCGTTGTTAGGGAGGTGAGAGCGATGAGGGGGAGGGTGGAGGTTGGGGAGGTGGGGTCGGGGAGGGAGGCGCGGAGGCAGTGGAGAAGTGTCATTTTGGGTTTGGGTCGCAGGCGGAGAAGGGAGGGTTGGGGGGGATGAAGAGGGGGAGGCGGAGGTGGGAGAAGTGAGGATAGGGTGTGTTTATGAGGTTTGGGCAGTTATAGTGAGGCTGAAAGACAGACCCTTGAGGTGGCATCTCGAACCTCGGCTGAGATGTCATTGGTTAAGCCGATAACCTGTGCCATACCCTATCATTTTGCACATACGACCAGTACCAGAACATGTGCTCACGGCCAATTGCTTAGAATTCTGACTCAGCACGGTAAGAAATGGCGGTTGTCGTCGGTCGATGAAGCTGCTCGAGAGAGACAGTCAGCGACCACTGCTATTAACCGAATCGCAAAACCACCCGCGAAGCCACCGAACGTAGATAATTAATTTGCTCGTAACATATGCAATTTTAGAGCGATAGATGTAAAAATCGATCCATTGTAATTAGAATTGAAAGCTCTACAAAATAAGCCCCTATAGTATATAGTATAAAAAATGAGCATTCTAGTATTTTGTATGCCACCCGTCTGCTTGAATGCACGCCTCAGGGAGGAGTTCTGTTTCTAGAACCTCAAGGTATGAGTTTGCAGTATATCCAAACTTCTTTGACTCAAAGTCACGGTCTATAAGGTATAAATTGCTCTGGCCTTCTGCTCAAAAGGCCCCCCAAACCATGATCTTCATGTTCTTATTTGTACTGTAGGTTTGGATCATCTCCCGCTGCCACTTCTGAGCAGGTGTGCGGAAACACCACTCGATCCTGTTACCCTGCCCCCGCTCAACAGAGCACTCATTACTCCACACAGCTTGACCCCAATCCTCTGCTGTCCAATTCCTCCGTGCTAAACACCATGCAAGCCGTTTCGCTGCATGTATTGGCAGTAGGAAAGGGCAACACTTTGCACGCCAATTGCCTATGCCTGCTTCTTGTAGTATCCTCTTTATAGTTGATGTTGAGCAAGCAACATTACAAGCATCCTTTACTTCTTGGTATGTATCCTTTGGGTTTAGGCATACGTGGCAGAGTATAAGGCGTTGCTCTGCTTCTATATATGACTTTCCCCGTGGTGTATAGGGTAGGCTCTTGCCTTCGGTGCGTATTGAGTCAACTGCAATTGTATATTGTACGGTGCTTCGGTCAAGGTTTAGGTCGTGTGCAATCTTAGTAGGTGTTGCACCCTCTGACTGCCTCCCAATAATCTGCCCACGTTGTTATGGGCTTAATTGGCCACCAGGCTGTCGATTCCCATCAATTAGAGCCAAAGCCCTCCGAGTTGGTGGCATAATTATGGTTGTTGTACAAGGAGGGGTGGGTTACGTGTGTTACGATGGTCATGGAGGTCAAGAAGCCAGTCCGGAGAATAATAAGCTAGATTGAATCTAAAGAGAGAAGAAGAAGAAGAAGGAAGGAAGGTGAGGCTATTCCTCGTAATATACAGTTGTCCGCTTAGCGGTTGTAGCCTTGGTGGCTAAGGCTGCACCCGTAACAACCGTAACAACCATAACAACCATAACAACCATAAGCTATAATCGTAACAACGTGGCGCGATTTACGTGTCAAATTGGAATTCAGTTAATAGCAGTGGTCTAGTACTGTATATCTCGGCCCGCCGCAAAGTAGCAACAGCACGCACCACAGCTCCACAGCTAAACCACCAACTCCCTATACGTAACGTAAGTCATCGTGTAACGTGGGGGATTTACCCTACCGACTCCTGAATAACTTAACAATGGTTCACCGTAAAAGCCTTGAGATTGCTAAGCGTGAAACTTTAATAGCCTAGGCAGTATTAGACATCCAATCTAGGAAGTATAAGAACACATATCACGCTAAGAAAGTGCTAGGGTTGCCTAAGAGTTCTATGACACGTTGTGTTAACAGAGATTTAACACGCTCCTAAGCCCGCTAGCAACAGCAGAATTTATTAGGCATGGAAGAGAAGATACTTCTTAAGTGGATTAAAATCCTAACAATTAGCAGTTATTCCCTAGGGTATCGGTTGTTGAAGGAAACAGCTAAAGAACTCTAGTTGCATTAGTTACTTAATTTCAACAACGTGATACTAAACTTGCTCCTACCCTAACTATGATTTACCCTTAACGTGCATGTATAACGAAAGTGCCAAACAAGCGAAAGTGCCAAAATCATGCGGTGACCAACCCCCCCAACTAAATGTTAAATTCCTCCACAACAAAACATGCGCCATAAAAATGATGAAAGCAAATTAGTGCTAGCTATCCAAGCTATGCAAAGCGACCCAAATTTGCGCCTTCGAGTTGCAGCTAGGATCTATTCCGTAGACCACCGCAAGCTACGTCACCGTTTACAAGGCGTACCTTCACGACGCGATATCCAAGCCAACTTACGGAAATTAAGTAACCTAGAGGAATCAGTTCTTGTTCAGTATATACTTGACTTAGCTGCTAAAGGGTTCCCTCCTCAGTTGTCTATTGTTGAAGATATGGCAAATCGACTACTTGCAACACGCGACGCGCCACGCGTCGGGTCACGTTGGGCTTCAAACTTTGTTAAGCGCCATGTAGAGCTCCGGACACGCTTCCAGCGAAAATACGACTACCAGAGGGCTAAGTGCGAAGATCCAGAAGTCATTCGTGGCTGGTTTGAGCTTGTATGGAACACAATTCTAAAGTATGGCATCAACAATGCAGATATCTACAACTTTGATGAGACTGGGTTTATGATGGGCGTCATCTCAAGCGACGCAACGGTAGTAACGAGCTCAGATGGGCGGGCAAAGGCAAAAAAGGTGCAGCCTGGCAATCGGGAATGGGTTACAGTAATCCAAGGCGTTAGTTCTCAAGGTTGGGCAGTGCCGCCATTTGTCATTGTGGCAGGTAAAAACCACCTTGCATCTTGGTATGAGAATAGCGGATTTCCAGCAGATTGGGTAATCGCTGTTACTGCAAATGGCTGGACTACAAACGAGAGAGGTATGGATTGGATTCAGCATTTTGAGAAGCACACAAAGCCCTGGAGTGTTGGTGGTTATCGCTTGTTAGTCCTTGATGGTCATGAGAGCCACCACTCAGACAAGTTTGAGGAGTACTGCAAAGAACACAACATTATTACGCTTTGTATGCCTGCTCACTCTTCCCATATACTCCAACCACTTGATGTTGGCTGTTTTGGCCCATTAAGGAGAGCTTACGGTCGGCAAATTGAAGATATGATGCGGGCTCATATTATTCACATTACTAAGGATGACTTCTTTCCTGCCTTCCACGCTGCATTTAACATTGCAATGACAGAAAGCAATATTCAGGGAGGGTTCCGAGGTGCTGGGCTTCTTCCATTTAGCCCTGAGAGTGTAATATCTACACTTGACGAGGTTTAAGACGCCAACACCTCCAACCTCTCGCCCAAACACCGCTCAACCATGGGTTTCTCAGACACCAAATAACCCAACTGAAGCTGTATCACAGTCTACTTTCATTAAAAACCGAATTGCGCATCATCAAAATAGCTCTCCAACCTCAATCTATGCAGCTGTTGACCAGTTTACAAAGGGTGCATCGCAAATAATGCATCAATTAGCATTGTTAAAAGCAGAGAACCAAAACCTGCGACAGGCAAATGAAGTGCTAAGCAAGCGCCGGAGAGCTAAAAAAACACGACTACAGCAAGGAGGATCACTTAGTCAACAGGTAGCACAGGAGCTACAGGACGAGAGGGACGTTGTGCAGCAAGTAGAGCAAGAAATAAGGGCAAGTAGTGGTCAGAAGCCAAGGGAAGAAACCCATGCACGTCGCTGTGGCAAGTGTGGTGAGACTGGACACAATGCGCGCACTTGTAGATTGTAATAGACAGGTCTGAGGAAGAGGACTCCGAGTAGTTTTAATTATTTTATATTGTTATGGTGGATTTATCACAATTCTTATGGGGTAGTCGCGATATTTTGGCACTTTCGCTTGTTTGGCACTTTCGTTATACATGCACGTTAGTTGTAAACTAGGTACCACGCTTTATATAATAGCATCCCTATCTATAAGTCACTATTAGGCAACAGATTAAGGCTATACAAATAGACACATGATGAAACTAGTGCTTATAGCATGGTTTAACATATACACTAAGGTGGTTTAATAGTTTAGATTATGTAAGAGAACACATATAACATGATGCACAAGTGAGCTGATAATACAAGCGAGTTAATAATTCCACCTAGAAACCACCTATAACCTGTATATATTATTATAAACCAACTAAACTAGCCCTTACTGTCATACTGACATTCGTTGCACTCAGTTTGCTATCAAACTCAAGAGCAAACTTAGAAATCTCCTCTTAAAACCTACAAGTCACCATACATATCTTGGCTTATCACACCAACAACAAGAGCAATACTACTCAACGATTGCTGCAAACTCTTCTACTACATCTGTTTATGCTACATACATCACAGCATATCATTTGGACACTCATTGAACAAGTTATTAAAAATCTCTTCCTTAAGGGGGTGGGCCAATACTACCACATGGCATATCTACCAACTAGAGGCCTAGGAACATGAACGATAGCTCTAGAAGCTTCTACAACCCTCTATGATTCATTACACGTCATCGCTCCTTAGTTACCCACAAGATTGGTTAAGTTATGACATAATTTGTTATAGGGGTACTCTGACCTTGGACCTTTCACTTCCTATAGGCTAGGAACCCAAGAGATGGCTCTATGGGATTCTCTTAAGCTAGAACCCTTTGGCTCTTTTTCCTAAGACAGTGTGTTGTCTTATTAGTAAAATCATCCCTTCCTTGGGTGGCTAGATTCTCACATCTGGTGCACCCACCATTACACAGCGTTTCATCAATGAGTGGTATGGGATATCGATCCTTTTTCGTTATGGCATTTAGCTTCCTGTAGTCGACACAGAATTGAAGACCACCACCTGGCTTTCTCACAAACATAATGGGTGAAGAGTATGGGGCTTTGCTTGCTTCAATGAACCCCTTTGGCAAGTACTCGAAGACATATTTGTTACGATATCAAGTGCGCCTTGCAGCTCGAGTGGGGGTTCAGGGGTGTGGGGAGCTTTCCGGGGTTGGAGCGAAGTTTTCAGTTGTGGAGTGAATTCTCAGAACTGGTCTTGCTAAAGAGAATTCACTCCACAACAACATAGCTGTATATAGATCAAGCCACTGCTCGAGTGCTCCTCTTCTCTTTCCTTTCTTCTCTAGATTGAGTTTAATTCATAATACCCAACTGGCGCCCTATGCCTTGGTGAACTGTGACATAAAACTCAATCTCTCTTATACCTCTTTTCCTGCTCTTTGAGCTTAACCCTCTTCTGAAATCGAAATCGAAATCCACTCTTTGAAAACCCCAGAACCAGAAACCTTATCCTGAAGTCGATTCCAGGACGATCTCGAGGCAACCCCTCAAAGTT